GGGAGGCTGAGGCAGGAGGATCGCTTGAGCCCAAGAGTTTGAGGCTGGGAGCTAGGCTGATGCCACAGCACTCTAGCCTGAGCAACAGAGTGAGACTCTGTCTCAAAAAGAAAAAAAAAAAGTTACTAAGAGCTAATTCAAAAATGGCACTGTTACTAAAGGCTAATAAATTGAACTGTGCTTATTTCAACAAGACTTTTTTAAAGTGTTTCTCTTCTTCACGCAAAAAGTTTCTTCTTCTGTTTTTTTTTTTTTTTTTTACTAGTGTATCGGTATTGGCAGTGAGTCAATTTCTTAAGCCCCTAAAGAACACACTTGTTTATATGCTGACTTTAATCCCACGTCAGGTGGGAAGCATTTCAGATGGCGTCAAGGAATAAACTGTGTTCCGGATTACTTAGATCCAATGGCTGGATGAGAAAACTGCAGCTACGATGCCGGTGAAGAGGAAAGGAGGTCTGAAGGCTGAGCTTTGGGCGTATCAACCTGTAAAAGTCAGGAAGAGGAAGAAGAGCGAGGGGAAGAAAACGGAATGGCAGGTCGATGGCAAGGAAACCAGGAGAACGCCGTGGCCCAAGGAAGAGGCGGTGGACGAGGACGCCCCCTGCCACGGGGAGGCAAGTGCAAGGCCTGAGAGCCAGCGCACCCTGGACGTGGCAAGGCAGAGCCCGTCTGCAGCACATCCTGCTAACGGGGTGGGACGGGGGCTCTCGCACACCAGGGTGAGAGACGGCAGGGGGCTGGCAAGCAGTGGCTGGGTGTGGGTGCCTGCTGGAGACAGACCCACGGGACTTGCTGGCAGACCACCTGGGCAGGGGTGGCGTCGAGGATGATGCCAGCTTTCCGGCCGAGCAGCTGTCCAACGGCGATGCCACGTGCTAAGGCGGGGCAGGAGAGGGACCGGGCGAGGGAGAAGGCTGTGTTGGATGTGTCGAGTTTGAGCAGCTTATTTTTGAAATCCAAGTGGAGATGCTGACGGCGTCAGAGATACAAATCTGGGCCCCAGAGACAATTTACAGCTAGAGATGTGAGTTTGGGAGTCATCAACATGTTTACGGGATCTGTTTATTTATTTATAACCACTTAGTTCTCAAACATAGTCAACTAGTCCTCACTACAAGGCTCACAATGGAAAACAACAATTGCCTCACTCCTTATGCCCCAAAAGTAACTACTTTCAACTGTTTGTGACTGTTGTTTCTTCTCTATTTACCTCAATATGTCCAAGTAATAGGATTATACTATTTCTTGATTTTTTTTAATTTTAGCTATACACGATACTAAGTTTCCTATACAAAATATTAGGATTTAGCTCTCTTACTTTTCCCACCTCCATATACACACTCACTCACGTCCTCTTTCTGTATCCTCTCAACCCAGTATGTAATATTACTATTTTGAGTTAAATCGATATTCAGAGCCAGCACATGCCTGTAATCCCGGCCACTCAAGAGGATGAGGCAGGAGGATCACTTGGGATCAGGAGTTCAAGACCAGCCTGGGCAACATAGCAAGACCCCATCTCTACCAAAAATTAAAAGTAAAAAAAATTAGCTGGGAATAGTGGCATGCACCTGTGGTCCCAGCTACTCAGGAAGCTGAGGCAGGAGGATTACTTGAGGCCAGGAGTTCTAGCCTGGATGACAGAGTGAGACCCTGTCTCTATAAAAAAAAAAAAAAAATTAATATTCAGAATCTACATTATTATCATTACATAAATATTATCCACAGTTAAGCCATGTGAAGGTCTATTATATTTCCTTTCGTGTACAACCTTCTATTTTCCACGGGATTAATAATCGCCTCATTTTTTGTTTATATAGTTTTTTGGTAACCATTTTGGCCCCAAGCTCTT